GCACTGTGTTAAAGAGGAGGCCGATGGCTCCACATCTGCTGTGAAAATGGTTCGGCTACAGAGGAGACGAGACACTCATTGAAGCTTGGAACCTGAGCTGGTGATTGTGACCTGGATGCAGCTTTAACAGTGATGGATAATTTGACCGTTAACACCAGTGACCATAACTTTAGGAAGTCTGAAGTGAGGGTAGCAGCAGGTAGTGTGAGAGGGGCACTTGCTAACATTTCCTTCTTGTAGTTTTTGAAATGCTGTAGCGTACTGGTTAGACATTTGCCTTGCAAGCGAGAGGACCTGGCTTCGATTCCCGGCAGGGTGAAACTTTAGGCAAATTTCCTTACTGCTAGGTAAACAAAGGCATGTAGTGTAAGTAGGAACCCATTTGTTAGTCGATTGGCAGATCGCTTTTCCAGGGAATATAATCTGAAAAAATAATAATAATTTGGTCACTCAATCCACGACTGTTTGTGGGACACTGTTGTGTGTAATTGGCTGATGCATTTGCCCACAAAATATACAATCACTACACTTCATAGTATATTTTGTGAAGCGCTTTGAGACGTCTTGACGCGTGATAAGGCGCTATATCAATAACAAGGATTATTAACATTATTATTTTTACCCACCTAGTGCATCAGTTATTGCATGAAATCTTGCAGCTCCCCTCAGTTTGCAAATTCACCAGAGCTCCTTCAGCTGCTCACACTGGCCGGCCATGGTGACACACTGCCTATATACCCAGTGTGTAGTGCTGTCCTCTCCCACTGGCTGAATGTGCTGAGGTCTCATTGCTGCATTAGCGCAACATAAATCACACAAACCAGACTGAGGCTCAGGGCTCTGTAAACGGCACATTGTTAACATGAATATCCAAGTTGAAGAAAAGCTCTTTGTTGCTGTCGGCGTGGGCTGGTGGGCCGGCGTTAGTGAGTGGCTCTCCAGCCCCTCGGCTCGGCTCTGCTGTCACACACTGTGCCGCGGAGTCTCTGCCGTTAGCATCGTGCCCACTGACTCCGGCCGGCCAAACTCAACCACCGTGGTGCCACCACCATACCATGCTACTGAGTAGGGCCTGTTAGTTACATGGCATCTTCCCTGGAGCCCCTGCGAGATGTTCCTGTACTGGAGAAAGCGCGGTGCGTACGAGCTGGAGAGCCTGGCCCCCCCGGGGGAGTGCAGCGCTGTGGAGCGCTTCGTGTGCGGTGCTGCTTTGGATGTTGTCTCGGACAGCGCTGACGGTAGGATGGAGTGACTGGATGCGGCGCGAGCGCTGTGGGCTTTGGATAGCGTTGGTTTCATCATTGAATGGCTGACTGGCAACAGTGAGTGTAGCGGTTCCTGTGGGGTTGGTTGCCAGGCTCAGCTGGCAGCCTGCAGAGCTGCGATCTTAGTATAACAACAACAACTTGGATTTATGTAGCGCCCTCACGCAGGGTAGAGTCCTAGAGTGCTTGATGGTGGCGGAGTACAGTGCTGAGCTGGGGGGAGGGGGTGGGCACAGCCTTGTCCGCTCACAGCCTGGCTCTGCAGCACTGGTAGGAAAGGGTTAATGCTTCAGGCCCTGAATTGGGTGGGTAAGTCACATGGACAATGCAGAGTGTTTGTCAGGAGAATTGTTGGGCTCTCCAGTGCTATGCGACATTCCGCCACCTCCACAGCAGCGTGTGAATGGCCTCTCTGTCTCCTCTGGCTAGGTTGGGAGGCCTGTGGTTGGTTGCTGAGTTCCTAGTTCACAGCGACATGAGGCATGTGGCAGAGATTCGCTAACCTCCCTGTGCTCCCACTGCCAATCAGGAATGCACGGCTGCAGGCATTGGGACCTTACTGAGTGCGAAGCCTAGGAATCTCGGTGGGACTTTGTAGAAAATGGTGCTGATAGCCTGCCCACCATCTCCCCCAACTTGCTAATCAGCATCGAGCTGCACAGATCAAACACGGTGTGAGTGGGATTCAGAGGAAATCTCCTGCACCCTGACAGCGAGCACCTTCATTACATTCATTGGAGTCTGATCAGTGGTTAGAGCACTTGCCTCACAAGCGAGAGGACTCAGGTTCAATTCCAGTGTGGGGCGAAACCTTAGGCAAGTTTCCTTACCCCTCACGCCTCTGTTTACCTAACACCAAGTAGGAACCTGGTTGTTAGTTGATTGATGGATTGCTTTTCTGAGGGTGATAATCCCTTTTAGAATAACAAAATAATAATTTGGTCACTCAATCCACGACTGATTTTGGGACACTGCAGTGTGCAATTGGCTGCTGCATTTCGCCCACAGAATATACAGTAAATTCCCTTTACAGTATATTCTGTGAAGCCCTTTAGACATCTCAAAGACATGATCAGTGCTATATCAAATGCAAGGATTATTATATTACTAGCTGTACCCATTGCAGCTACGCTTGCAACCAGTTTGATTCAATCGGCCTTCTCTCTTTCACCTGGCATTGAAAGGCTTGATCTTCGCTTCTTAGGAATCTTTATCCCTTAAGATTAACAAAAAATGTGCTATTGAACTCATTAGCATCCCCTGTTCATGTATTTGCACACATATCCTGTTGGGAGGACTCCTGTGGTAGGATCCCTATAGGGAGGACTCCTTGTTAGTGGGACCCCTGTGGGAGGACTCCTATTGGGAGCAGTCCGTACATGTGTGATGAGCCTGTTTAGGTCACGATAGAGGATCCCTGAAAAAAAAATGACCTTGAGACTCCCCCATGCAAGACCTTTCTGATGAGATATAAATCATGTCTCTACGTCAATCGGTTAGACAGACACCTTTATTAGTATAGATATATAATAATAATAATAATAATAATCCTTGCATTTGATATAGCGCTTTTCACGTCGGGAGGACGTCCCAAAGCGCTTCACAGAACACACTGTAAAGTGAATTGACTGTATATTTGTGGGCGAACGCGGCAGCCAATTGCGCACAGCAATGTCCCACAAACAGTCGTAGATTGAAAATGACCAATTTATTATTGTTTTGGTTTTGGAGGGATTATTATTAGGCTCTGTGTGGAGTAAGGAAACTTGCCCAAGGTTTCGCCCTCTGCCTGGAATTGAACTCAGGTCTCTCACTTGCAAAACGAGTGGTCTAACCACTGAGCTACAGGACTCCGTAACTCCGTATATCCCTCTGTCAGGACCTCTACTTTGTTGTAGAATATCATACATAGCTTTTTGGGGGCTTAAAGCATTTTTTTAATTTTTTTTTAATACAGTTCATCAACGATAGGAGATCCCTGAAAAAAATATGCCAATGGCACTCTCCCATACTTTCCGATGAGATATAAATCATGTCTCTACATCAATTAGTTTCTGCGTTCTTAGCAAACTCGTCTTTATTAATATAGATATAAGTTTCCCTTATGAAATGGGCAAATCACTAGATATAGTGATTATAGTGGAGTCTGTAGCTCAGTGGTTAGAGCATTCGCCTCACAAGTGAGAGACCTGGGTTCGATTCCTGGCAGGGCGAAACCGTGGGCAAGTTTCCTTACTCTACACGTTTGATAATAATCCCTCAAGAAAAAAAAACAATAATAATTTGGTCACTCAATCCACGATTGTTGGTGGGGCATTGCTGTGCGCAATTGGCTACTGCGTTTCGCCCACAAATATACAGTCAATTCACTTTACAGTATATTCTGTGAAGCGCTTTGAGACGTCGAGAAGATGTGAAAAGCGCTACATCAAATGCAAGGATTATTATTATATGCTTCCTGTTCCCTCCATCCCGCTCCAGCAATCTTGGTAACTTTCCCACAGTCACTCTGGGAAGTCCTGACCAGTGGGAAGAGTATTGGAATGAGCTGGTTAATGGGATTCAGTCGGGCACAATAGCCTGTTGTAGGGAGCTGTGACTGGGGGTGGTGGAGCTCTGATGGATATATAAGAGGCTATTGAGATCTGGACCTCCATAACTTCAGTCTGTCGTTTCTGAGAAATTTTAATTAGTTTTTATTTGTTTTTGTTCTGTTTGGGTCAAACTTTCTCATTGCTGAGACACACAGACTGTCTCGTTGACCGGCTGGCTGGTTACTCGGGTCACTGGCTACCTGGCTAACTAACCTGCTGGCTACCCTACCTTTTGAGATTCAGGCAATGGACTCATTTAATCCAATGCCCGATGCAGTACTTAATAATAATAATCCATGCATTTGATATAAGGCCTTATCACGTTTTCGAGACATCTCAAAGCGCTTCATAGAATATATTATAAAACGAATTTACTGCAGTGTCCCACAAACAGTCATGGATTGAATAACCAAATAACAAGATTGAAAGCTGTTTTTAAAATACTTCCCTCTAACATTTGAATACAATTCAAAATTATATTTGTATAGCGCCTTTCACGTCGGGATGACGTCCCAAGGCGATCTGCCAATCGACTAACAACCGGTTTACTACTTACTTCTAGGTAAACACAGGCGTGTGGAGTCAGGAAACTTGCCTAACATTTTGCTCTGCCTGGGAATCAAACCCAGGTCCTCTCGCTTCCGAGGCGAGAACGCTAACCACTGAGCTACATAACTCCAAAGTGTGGAGAGAGACACAGACAGGAGTTAGAAGGCGATCAGTGTGGGGAGGAGGATTAACAATGTTCCTGGAGCAGTCCTCGTTGAATTCTTTATGGTAAAACAAAGGAAACTCACACTCTCTCCGTCTCAGACCCCACCCACGAATGCAATAGATTTTCATTTTAATTCGTCACCTAGCCCCGAGATACAAGCCATCAGTACATTTCATAACATTTCCAGAAATGTCTTTTGTCGATCTTTGACTTACAGAAAATCCTTCCTGCCTGCCTGTGTCCAGGCTTGTTATAACTGATGTCTGCCTGTCTCTGTCTGCTATCCCAGTCGTGCTGAGTGAGTGGGAGGAACTGAGTCTGGACATGAAATCCATTATTCCTGCTTTCTCTCCAGCTGGGATTGGCTGGAGGCATCACTCCCTCTCCCAGCTTCCCGGTCCCTCCCTCCCTCCCCCCACAGGGAGTCAGACTGACGTGGAGAAGGCTGGATGTGGTGCCGTTTCTCTGGGATGTACTGATCGCTGTTGGCACACACACACTCTGTCTGCAGTTATTAACTTACAGCCAACGCTCGACAGAGACAGAGAGCGAGAGCTGGGTTAATGTCTGGCAGTTTCAGACTGGACAGGAGAACTGGGCGCAGTCAGTGCCTTTGTGCCTTTCACCCAATTGTGGGTCAGAATTACACAGCGGCCTGTGGACAATGACTGGAGGTGAGTGAGGAGTTTGCATTGTGTGGCTCATTGGAAGTGAGGGTGGGATCCTGTGTGTGCCGTTGCTCTGTAGTGCTATTCTGCACTCATAAGAACACTGTCTTTCTCTTAAACCCCATTGTCTCTCCTCTGCTGACATCCTGACGTATTGACTGGTGCCACGAAGGTCCTTCTAACATATTTGTTACATAATCTTGATACCCTTACCTAACAAACATGTTCAAATTGCGCCTGAACACCTTCCTCTTTGACTGTGCCTACGGTTATCTCCCCCCAGCTCGGTCTTGTGCTCCGCCACTGTCAAGCTCTCTGGGACGCTACCCTGCATGAGGGGAGCTGTGCAAATGCAAGTTGTTGATGTTGTTGTTGATATGGAGCAAGAGTGGATAACTGGACTTGAGATATAGATCAGCCATGATCTTATAGAAGGGCAGAACAGGCTTAAGGGACTGAATGGCCTCCTCCTGTTCCTGTGTTCCACCAGCCGTGGCTTGATTGATGCCGTGCTGGAGTTCAGATGGTGACTGTGGCAGCTGTGTGGGCACAATGGGTGGGGAAGGGGAGGAAGGGGCACATCACGGCAGAGCCTGATCCTGTCCTGGAAGTAAGTGAGAAATGTAACAGAGATAGGTGGGGAGCAATGTAATAGAGGTGGGGGAGGGGCAGAGCAATGTACAGGTTATGCTGTAAAGTGAATGAATTGTACATTTTGTGGGTGAAACGCGGAAGCTGATGACCAGTGATGAGGAATGTGAAACAGAACAATTCACTATTTCCCAATTGTCTCCTTTTCACAAGGAACTGAACTGTTTGGCTGCTAAGCAATGCGATTGGATGGGATGCTGCAGTAAGGCCAGGTCAGGCCACCATAGGACCTGATCTGGACATTACACTGTAACATGACACTGACAGTAACTGGTTAGCCACAGCTGAGAGACTTTCCCATCCACAGATAGACTTCAGGAACTCTTCACCTATAGCTCACACACCCCAGGGACAGGACAGGACAGGTCGTTAGGCACTGTGTATTGAAGGAGGTGTTGCGGTGTGTGGGGGGAGTGAATGTGTGATGTGTGCCAGAAGTGATGGAGTTGGGCAGGTTTGCACTCCGGGACTCCAACCCGCGTGAAGGGCGGTATATAAATGCAAGTTGTTGTTGAGTGGGGTGTGTGGCGGGATGGGGGGTTGTGGTGGGGTGGGGGGAGTGCCTCAGGCTGCTTTTAGCACAGAGCCCTGCCCTCTCAGATTGCTGAGCTGTGTCTCTGCTAATCCCTCGCTGAGCAGCCAGTGTACACAGCTCGACTGATGAAAGGCTGTCAGTCTGTGGGTGCTCCCAGAGTCTGCGTCCCTCCCAGTCTGATGCTCAATCAACTGAAGAAAACATTAAAAGTACAGAAGCTAATTCATACAAGCTGGATGTTGTGCGTGCTCTTCAGAACAGAAATTCCTTAATGTTTTTTAAAGGAGTGTGAGTGCCAGTTATACATTATATATTATATAACACACACAGCAACAACAACAAATTACATTTGTAAAGCACAGTGTGTTATATACAACAGAGTTACACCCACATTGCCCAGACTGAGGTGGATAGATGTCTGTTAGGTCAGGATATCAAGAGATATGGGGCAAAAGCAGGCAAATGGAGTTGAGGTACAGATCAGCCATGATCTTATAGAATGGCAGAACAGTCTTTAGGGGCTGAATGGCCTATTCCTGTTCCGAGGTCCCACATGGGACCTGTATAAACTAACTTCTCATTTCCCTATTTACAGATGAACAGAGTTTACCAGAAGACGTGGTGCTGTTGTGCCAGCACCCCGAGTGTGTAGACGGCGGGAGAGCGGTGAAGGTAAAATGCTCGCTCACTCGCTTATTGTGCTGCCTTTTGACGGTCTCTTCCTGAAATATTCTGTTCCATGTTCTCGGTCAGCCAAAAGCCAGAGAGACGCTTACACACTGAGGCTTCCACAGCAGACCATGTGTTTAGTCAGCAACATTGTCACTGTGGACCAGCCTTTTTTCTGCGGAGAAAGCTTGTATTTCGATAGTACCTCATGACGTCACAACGTATCACTAATTAAGTGCAACCACTATTTTTGTAGCCATAATTGTGTACAGCAAAGCTCCATAAAGAGCCGTAAAGCGAACAATCATTTGATTTGGAAGATTGTCGGCCAAGAAACTCTATTTTCCAATCATGCCACTAGTTCTTTACTCTCTACCTGGACAGGCAGATGGGACCTCAGTTTAATATCTCATGTGAAGGACACCAGTGTAGTGCTCCCCACCCCCCTCCACCCCCACACCATACTGCACTTTCTGAGGAGTCTGTGAGCTCAAGCCCTGATATGGGGCTTGAACCCATAATCTTCTGGCCCACAGGTGAAAGTGTTGCCAACTGAACCAAGCTAACACCCAATGCTCCCTGTAATACACCCTGTAGGGTGGAGACTCAAAAGTGATTCTCAGCAGTTAGATATCCGTTGTGTCCTGGACATGTGTGGGCCTGAGAGCAGAGACTCCTTCCTTTGTTGCTTGTTTTCTTATGTTAACCTCTAAACTCTGCTGGTTAAAGCTCCAGGAGTTAGCCCAATGCACACTCTGGAGTCCCCAAACCTTTGCTCTTGCCACCCTACACCTAATACTCTCTAGAATTACGTAAGCAAGATGCGCCCCTTTGGGAAGACAGTGTACATTCCATTCTAGAGATGGGAGTTTCCATGCGTAGGTGGGATGCAAGGAGCTCTCGGCTTGGTTAGATACTCTTTAAGCATTTGTGGAGTCCTGTAGCTCAGTGGTTGGAGCACTCGCTTTGCAAGTGAGAGACCTGAGTTCAATTCCAGACAGGGCGAAACCTTGGGCAAGTTTCCTTACTCCACACAGAGCCTAATAATAATCCCTCCAAAACCAAAAACAATAATAAATTGGTCATTTTCAATCTACGACTGTTTGTGGGACATTGCTGTGCGCAATTGGCTGCCGCGTTCGCCCACAAATATACAGTCAATTCACTTTACAGTGTGTTCTGTGAAGCGCTTTGGGACGTCCTCCCGACTTGAAAAGCGCTATATCAAATGCAAGGATTATTATTATTATTATTATTAAGCATGGTGATGGACTGCGAAAGGCGAGGCAGGGCTGGGCAAGACAGGAGACGGCTGGGCAGGGTAGGGCTGGCTCACCAGGAGAGAATGTAATGCTGCTCCCTGTGCGTGTGTCACAGCCAAGAACCAGCTGAGTTTTGGTGAATTATTTCATGATCTTCTGTGTGAGGAGTGCAGCGTATGGACTCTGCCTGTAGTTAAATTGCCTGCCACCTGGTGGAAACACCACCAATGCTTAACTGCGACAAACATCTGAGTGGCACACCTCAAACCCACCGACACACAATCCTCCCCTGCACACCCAGACGCCCGCACACGCCCAGGTCTCCCCCCCACCCCACCCCCGGTGCACACCCAGGCCCCCCACCCCGCACGCTCCCAAGTCCCACCGTGCACGCCCAGGACCCCCCCTCCCCCACACACATCCAGCAGCCCCCGCTGCACACATCCATGCCCCTCCCTGTGCATGCCCAGGCCCCGCACCCCCACACATTCCCAGCCACCCATCCCTCCCCCCGCACATGTTCAAGCTTCCCTCTCTCCTCCAGGCCCCCCCCCTCCCCTGGCGCATGCCCAGGCCACCCCCCCCCCCACCGGCGCATGCGCAGGCCCCTCCCCTGCAGACTCAGGCCCGTCTCCCACAGGCACAGACACAGGCCCCTCCCTCAGCAACACCCATGCATACGCCACACAACTGTTCCATACGTGGCATGCCGGTAGCTGGAACTGGACTGACACACTGCAGCAATGGACGTATGCATGAACCGCATGCTCAAAGCAACCAAATTCCATCTGGACTTGGGCAGGTCGCGGGACAATGAGGTGGGATCAGAATCTCTCCCGATTTATTCGCTGTGTCCCTGAGCCGCGATCGAGGGGCTCCTGTGTTGGGCTTTTAGTGACAAAGGTTATTTATCTTTTCATCTCGAGAGCATTTGTGTCAATAATGAAGCCACTGCCCTCTCCGCGCTGGATCTCTCTCTAGTGTCAGCGTCTCTCTGTGTATCCCAGATAAAGTGCTGCCTTTCCTGGGATTGTCCACAGGCAGAATCTGCTAAACAATCTCCTGGGAAGTTACGTGTTAGCCTGGCTTGGGTAGTCGCACTCTCTCCTCTTGACCAGGAGTCTGTAGGTTAAAGTCCCAGGTAGGGGGCTTTGAACTCACAATCCAGGCTGACACTCCAGCACATTACTTGGGAAGCATCGCATTGTTGGAGGTGCGTTTCTTTGGATAAGTCATTAGACCGAGGTCCTATTTGCCTGTTCAGGTGGAAGTTAGAAGATCCTGCAACACTGTGTCCTGATGTCAACACGAGCAATCCTCCAGGTCACTCACCTTCTGGCTGCGGATCTTTCTGGCAGTGTGTAAATAGCTGCTGCGTTTTCTTAGAAGCACTCGCTCCATTTGACAGTAATTATCCATGTCGTACTTTGAGATGTTTCCAGATGATAAGAATGTCGATTGGTTTGGGTTTAAGACTCGTCAGAGTGAGGGGGAAAGTTCCTTGTGTGTGTGTGTGTGTGCGTGTGATGCTTTGGCCAGTGAGCAGGTTTTATTCATTTAGTTTATTATTGAACCAGTTTGTGTTTTCTCCAGTTTGTATATTGATGGAAGATTTAATAGCGATGTTCAAAATTGTGAGGGTTTTTGATAGAGTAGATAGGGAGAAACTGTTTCCTCTAGCAGGTGGGTCAGTAATCAGGAAACATAGATTTAAGATAATCGGCAAAAAAAGCAGAGGGGAGCCAACAAGAATTTTGCTAGTACTGATGAACTGCCATGTTTGCAGCAAGAGTTCCGACACCTTAAAGTGACTAATGTTAAGCTCTTTGAGACATTTTAAAGGGGGGGTAAATTCTGTGCTGTTTCGAACCTGAAGGGAGACTTTGCTCTGCTCTCCACAGCATGCAATATAAGGTGTATTGTCCTTTTAAGTGACTACATTGGTACAATAACACTGTGTATTGATAGAGAAAGCAGTGTTGAGGTTATTCTGTGCTGTCAGAAAGGTGAGTTGTGAGGTCTGAGACACAATCCAGAGCTTGTTTCCGATCGTTGCCCTCCCTCACACCCGTCACTTTGCCGAAGGCAGGAGATCAAGACTCTTCTGGCACGCAACTGTCACTGACTTGCAAGGGTGCACGAGGCCTAGCCCCACACACCCTGGGAATCCCGGGGAACCTGGGGAGCTGAATCGATGGGAAACTGGATAGATGTGTGGGAAGTCATGGTGAAAAGGTGAAAATTGGCATTGGAACATAGGAACAGGAGTAGGCCATTCAGCCCCTCGAATCTGTTCCACCATTCTATTGGATCGTGACTGTACCTCAACTCCAAACAGATTGGAAGAATGGCTCTTTCTATCTGTCACTCTCTCCGTCTGTCTGTCACTCTCTCCGTCTGTCTGTCACTCTCTCTCTCTCTGTGTGGGTCTCTGCTTGCCTGTCTGGGGGGGTGTGGGACTCCCTACTCCTGTTCCTGTGTTGAGCTGGGAACCCCCCGCACCAGCCATCTCCACAATAGCTGACGTTGGCTTTGTTTTGTTTCTTCCTTCAGGAAACATCTGCCGACGAGGGCTTGGGTCTCCAGGGACTCTCCCCGGCCAGGGCTGGGGGGGGGTTCAGCTCCATTTAAGAGTGAGAGCCCCCTCAGGGCTGTACCACCCTCTCCCCACCCCTCCCGCGGCTGGCTCTGTGGGCATTCACTAGGGTGAGACAAGGGCAGCTCCATTGCGCTGAGATATTAATAAGACTGGAAACAGAGGCTTCCTCTTTCAAATCCCCTCTGTCTGACTGACGTACATCACAAACCGCACAGGCTATTTACTGGAGTTTGGCCTTTTGTGGAATAATGTTTCTGCCACTGAATTGCTGGTGGTTGGGGGTGGGGGAGGGGTATGTGACTGACACTCCCCTCCTTCCTACTGCAGTCAGTGTAGAACATAGGCCACCCCCCGGGGGGTCGAACGATGTGGCCTCAGCCACAGCTATGATTACGCTATGACCACTGGCTCATGTCATGTGTTGTGCTCTACATGTTGGGCGGGGGAGCTGCACCAGATGACCTTTGTGGTCCCATCAAAACCAAGGTCCACATCACCAGCTGCGTTTCACACTTCTTTGGCCGGGGTGCAGAGATGTAGTAAGCGCTGTGAGTCGCCACCCTGAGACGAATTGGTGGTGAAGAGCGCTGTGTAAATACAAGTTGTGGTTGTTGTTGTTGTTACTGCTCTTGATAGAGATTTGGGGTGAGGACAGGATTGGGTTCTTGCGGGCCAGTGTGTGCGTGAGCCAGACCTGAGTGTGTGAGAGAGAGAGAGTGACCTAAATTTTTTTAGAAGCTTAAATGTAGAGAGCAGATTGAAGCTGACGCTCTGATCTGCGGGATGAAGCTCTCCCGCTTGTCATTCACACAGCCTGTGACTAACCGCTTTGTTGGGAGAGAGAGTGACTGCGTGCCAATGGAAGCCACACCACTCCTCCCTGCACAGAGCTCACGTCTATGAGGAACAAATAAAGAGAGTTCAATGGGTAAAATAACACTCAAGAACACAAAGCATGTGCAGAGCGAGAGAGAGAAGGCTCGAGGTGCTGACATTCGATCGCTGCGGTAATCCTGGGGGAACCCGAGGAGGAGCAATAGCAATTGTGTATCTGAGTTTTAGTCCAAAAGAACCAGTACATACAGGGGAATTCCACATTACACACATTGGCTCACACACACACTGGGACTCTACCCTGCTTGAGGGACTCTATATAAATGCAAGTTGTTGTTAGTGTTATACATATACACACAGTGCATTGTTCCACACACACACACTGCAGCATTACACACACACACATTGCAGTGTTACACACATGCAGTGCAGTGTTACACACCCACACACACAGTGAGTGTTACACACACACAGTAGTGTTACACACAGGGCAGTGTTACACACACAGTGCAATGTTACACACACAGTGCCGTGTTACACTCACACGCAATGCAGCATTACACTCACACACAGAGCAGTGTTACACACACACAGTAGTGTTACACACAGGGCAGTGTTACACACAGTGCAGTGTTACACACACACGGTGCAGTGTTACACACACACGGTGCAGTGTTACACACACACGGTGCAGTGTTATAATAATAACATAATCCTTGCATTTGATATAGCACTTTTCACGTTTTCTAGACGTCTCAAAGCGCTTCACAGAATAGACTGTAAAGTGAATTGACTGTATATTTGTGGGCAAAATGTGGCAGCCAATTGCGCACAGCAGTGTCGTGCAAACAGTTGTGGATTGAAATGACCAATTTATTATTGCTTTTTTTGACGGATTATTATCATGTGTGTGGAGTAAGGAAACTTGCCCATGGTTTCACACTGCTGGGAATCAAACCTGGTTCTCTCGCTTGCAAAGCGAGTGCTCTAACCACTGAGCTACAAGCCTCCACACCCACAGTGCAGTGTTACACACACACAGTGCAGTGTTACACATGAAACCGACCACCTGCTCCCTCGACCCCATCCCTACCCCTCTCCTTACCTCCCATCTCCACCTCCTTGACCCTCTACTCACAGACATCATAAACCTCACCCTGTCCACTGGTACTGTTCCCACCCCATTAAAAATGACTGTCATCACTCCTATCCTTAAAAANTCCTCCCTGGATGCATTTCTATTCTCAAACCACCACCCCATCTCCAACCTACCTTTCTTCTCCAAGGTCCTGCAACGAGTTGTTGCTTCCCAGTTTCGCTCCTTCCTCTCCTGTCACTCCCTCCATGAACCCCTCCAATCGGGTTTCCGTGCCGCCCAAGGCACAGAAACATCCCTGGTCAAAGTGACAAATGACATTCTGTCCACCTGCGTTAAGGGTTGCCTCTGCCTCCTCGTCCTCCTTGACTTCTCCTGCCTTCGACACCATCGACCACTCTATCCTCATCCACTGCCTCGCACCTCAACTTCCACGGTGCTGTCCTTGACTGGTTCAGATCATACCTCTCGCACCGCCACCACTTCATCTCTAGCCCTCATACCATCTCGTGCGGCGTTCCTCAGGGCTGTGTCCTTGGTCCCCTCCTCAGCAATATCTATATGCTCCCTCTTGGTGACATCATCCGCAAACATGGGGTCAACTTCCACATGTATGCAGATGACACTCAAGGACCACTGCTGTCCTGTCAAAATGTCTGTCAGACATCAAGTCCTGGGTGAGAGGTAATTTTCTTCAGTTGAACGTCAGCAAGGCCGAGGCTCTCCTGATTGGCTCCCATCAGCTCCTCCTCACCTCAGGCGCTGACAGCATCACCATCTATGGATGTACCTTGCTAAGCCAGTCCAGAACCTTGGTATCTGGTTTGACCCTCAACTATCCTTTCTACCCCACATCTGTGCCATGACCCGCTCTGCCTTCCCTCACCTCTGCAACATCAACCGGCTCCACCACTGTCTCACATCCGCAGTCTCACCTCCTCGCTCCCTTCCTTGCCTCCTTGAAGATCCATCTTAAGACCCTCCTTTGCCCGTGCTTTCGATCACCCTGCTTCCGCCCCTGCCCTCCAACCTCCCTGATCCCGACCTCCAGCTCGGATCCGAAACTCTGACTGTCCAGTGCCTTGGGAGGTCCTCCCAAAGTGAGAGGCACCCACCATACAAATGTAATTTTGTTGTTTTTGTTACATATACAAAGTCTAGTGTTACACATTGGTAGAGGGTGCCTGTGCTAATTAAATATTGAGGGAGTGTGTGGATGGTGTCTGGTATGGCTTGTGAACCAGGTAGCCAGCCAGTGCAGCTCAGTTACATGAAACGGCAGGGCTGGGTGGGCGGCTGAATGTTCCAGGGGCATCTCCAGCCTGGCAGCTGACAATTTACATCAGGCTACAGTGAAATCTGCAGTCCTCCTGATTGAAGCCCAGGTTCTCACTGTGCTGACGCATTGGCAACAAGAGAAAGTTCTTACCACAACTACAGGCCAGGAATTGGCTCCAATTTCCACACTGACTGACTGACCTACTGACTGCACCCAATTGCCCAACAAACAGATTGGTAGCAATTCTCGAGTATCTGTCGCGGTGGATGTGGTGGGGATGCGGTGGGAGGGTTGTCTCTTGGGGTGGGGCTGTGTGGGGGAGGGTTGTCTTCCGATGTGGGAGTGTGGGAGAGTCTCTCGCCTAGTGGGGGCAGGTATCAGTAACGTGCTGTACACAGTAGGAGGGACAGTTATGTATTTTCATTGCTCCGGGTAAATGTCACTCTGTGTTTTCCGGGAGTCTGTCAGTTTCTGGTTGACTGGAGCAGAAATGTTCAGTGATCAATTATGTAGCTTTAGGCTGTTTCAGTGCAGCAATAACAGCTTACATTTGTGCAGCGCCTTTCACATAGAGAGACGTCGCCGAGAGGTTGCTTGACAAATGCAGCGCTGGACACGGAGCAGGGAAATCCGAGATGGGAAGCCATTGGCCACAGGCAGGGTAACCGAGTTGTGTGTTGGGGAGGATTGTGAGGGCAGGGAGAAAGGCAGCAAGCCGGAGAGATGTGTGAACAAACGAGTTACCACATGCACGCCCCTGGGAGCTGCTGTTTTTGCAGCTTGTCAACTGCTGGTAACGAGCATTCAATACACAGTCAATTCACTTTACAGTAGATTCTGTGAAGCTCTTTGGGACGTCTTTGAGACGTGATAAGGCGCTATATGAAATGCAAGGATTATTATTAATATTATTGAGCCTGCGTTGCCTCCAGTTACTGGGCAGAGTGAGGAGGGGGCTGGCGAGTGCGTGAAGGTCAGAGACACTGCAGGGTTCAGCCAGACTCTGATGGGGGAGGGGGTGTGGGCCCTGGATGTGATGGATGTGACAATACTAGTCTTGTGCAGTGCTACTCTATGTGCAAACTCACTGTAATGTGAGTCACGGTGAACGGGCGGCACATAGAGTAAGGGAGTGAGGAAGGGCTGCCTTCACTGTGAGAGTTTGCACTATTGTACTGTGAAGGACCGAGCTGATCCCCAGGATGTTGTCTCTGCTGTTAACTCTTTCACTTGTTCCACTTACTGCTGTTTTTGCAGCTTGTCAACTGCTGGTAACGAGCATTCAATACACAGTGGAGTCCTGTAGCTCAGTGGTTAGAGCACTCGCTTTGAAAACAAGAGACCTGAGTTCAATTCCAGGCAGAGGGTGAAACCTTGGGCAAGTTTCCTTACTCCACACAGAGCCTAATAATAATCCCTCCAAAACAAAACCAATAATAAATTGGTCATTTTCAATCTACGACTGTTTGTGGGACATTGCGGTGCGCAATTGGCTGCCGCGTTCGCCCACAAATATACAGTCAATTCACTTTACAGTCTATTCTTGAAGCGCTTTGGGACGTTGAGAAGACATGAAAAGCGCTATATCAAATGCAAGGATTATTATTATACCCGGGAGACAAATGCTGCTGAACTGGTTTCTGATTTGAAACAATCTGTGTGGCTCCATCTGCATTACACTGAGCGTTATGGGGTGCAGCCCCTTTTCACACCTTTGAGGCCCCGGTTCAGGCGGATGCAGCGCCTCGGGACATCCTCCCGACGTGAAGGGCGCTATATACAAGTGTAATTTTTTGTTTTGCATTGTATCAATGCCATCCTTATCTCTTCCAGGTCTGTCATCATGGCGACTGCCAAGAGGTGAATGGCAGTAGCCCACTCAGCCTGTGCGCTGTGTGTGACAACAGGCTCCATCCCACAGTGCACCTCGACCGGCACATCCGCTTCGATCTCCCGCCTCAAGGTCAGTGTGGTCTTCCTGGTGCGGTCTCGGCTTCTCTGACGTTTCTCCTGTTTCCTCTCCGTTAAGGGTGGGTCTGTGATTGAGGGCAGGGCTGACTGGGGCGGGGCTGCGTGTGAGGGCGGGGCTGCGTGAGAGGGCGGGGCTGCGTGTGAGGGCGGGGCTGGTTTAGCTGGGGGAGGGGATGCTTGGCTGGGGGTGGGGATGGCTTGTTGGCCTCTCCATTCAGCAGCTCACAGGTTTGTTGCTGTGAGGTACAGTTGTGCAGTGATGGGAGCTGGTGAGGCTCTCGGTGATGATCTGACCCTGGGCAGAGCTGCTATTGTACTGAGAATCTGCTGTTGATGTCACAGGCTCTGTTCTGGCCAGGAATGTCTCTACACGGTCATGTCCTCCCCGGACTAGAACCCCGTCAGACCTGGAGGAGGACGAGGAGAGCTCGATGGATGGCAAGAGGTAGGAGAGTATTGGGATTGTATTTACTCTGCTCCTCCCCCTGCCCTTTCTCCTGCCCTTCCCATTGCCCCATCCCTCCCCCTCCTCCAGCCCCCGCCAATCTCTGTGCCCGCCAGTCGCTTCTGGGAAAGACAGTGTGGCACCAAACCAGCCATGTTACTGAGCTTATAGTCTAGGCTGGCACCAGTGCAGTACGGGGCGGGACGGGTGTTGCAGATGCTCAACCGAGGTCTTCCAGTGGACGTTTTTCCTGATGCACCGGTAACATTCTTCTCGGTGAATCAGTCAGTCAGTCCTGGCTGTTAGTGGGACAGCATTCTGCACAATGTGACTGCTGCATTTGCCGACAAAAGAAACTGATAATGATTTCTGTGAGAAAAATGAGCAAATGAGACACCATAAAAATGCACGTCCTTTCCTTTCTTGGGTGAGCTGCGGAGAGAGGCATGTCGGGGTGGGGGCTGTATCTGTCTCTGTCTATGTCACTCAGCCGAACAGCTTCCTGGAACTTCTGTGGACAAGGAGGAAACACGGGAACCTGACGCCAGAGGCTCAGCTCTTTTCTCCCCATAAAATAAACAATATCAAAGTTGTTGATACCCACTGACCTCAGTTTGTGAAGGAATCTTTCATGTGGTCTGTTTCCTTTTGTAGGTCAGTTACTACTACTAATAATAATCTTTGCATTTGATATAGCGCCTTATCACGTCTTTGAGACGTCCAAAGCGCTTCACAGAATATACTGTAAAAGGAATTTACTGTATATTCTGTGGGCAAAACGCGGAGCCAATTGCGCACAGTAAACATTTTTGTTTTGAGGGGATTATTACCCACGGAAAAGCGATCTGCCGATTGAGTAACAACTGAGTTCCAACTTATGGCTTGGTAACCAGAGGCGTGTGGTGTAAGGAAGCTTGTCCAACATTTTGCCCTGACTGGGAATCAAACCCAGGTCCTCTTGCTTGCAAGGCGAGTGCTTAACCACTGAGCTGCAGGACTGCTTGGATATGAGATGCCAAGGTCTGCGTGGCACTGGGAGGATGGCAAGCGAAGCTATTGTAAAAGTCGAGACTGGGGTGACATGACTGAGTGGTTTGGCTGTGTGGGTAGCGAGGGAGGTGATAGCTGGTGTTGAATAGATGTTCTGATTAATTCTCTCCCATTGCGCATTAACAGGAAGAATTCATCACTCAAACTGACCAAGAAGAAAGCCCGGCGACGACACACTGATGTAAGATTTCCTTCGTTCTCCCTCTCTTTAATGGCAGCATCCTGTGCCTCACAGTCTGTCTGGCAGTGAGCAACATGGTGTGACTGAACTGGGGGCAGCGGAGAGTGAGTGAGCTCAGTGTGAGCCAGTGCCTTGGTCTCGTGTGGGAATCACATCTCTTTATCTCACAGGATCCGAGTAAGGAATGTTTCACACTGAAGTTTGACTTGAACATCAACATCGAAACAGAGATTGTTCCTGCCATGAAGAAGAAGACTCTGGGGTAAATATTGGAGCCGGGACAGCTCTCCCTCTCCCCCGCCTTCCCACAGCCTCCCCCCATATCTCTCTCTCTTTCCCCTACCCTCCGAGCACCCCCCACCTTCTTCCCCCATCCCACCCCGAGCCCTCTCCCCCCACACCGAGCCCCCCCTTTCTCCCCACAGCCATCCTCCCTTTCCGCCCCTCTCTCTCCCCTATCGAACCTACACCCTCTCTCTTATCCCCCCTCCCAACCACCCCTTCTCTTTCCCCCACCCTCCCGGCCACCCTCTCCCCTCCTTGAATTTAATGCAGTTTACTGTGTTTGTAATATTTCTATCTACCACCACAGGGAGGTGCTGATGCCTGTGTTCGAGCGGAAGGGCATTGAGCTGAGGCGAGTGGATATTTTCCTGGACCAGTCGTACACTCCGCTTTCCCTGAAATTTGAAGCTTACCGGTTTGGAGGACATGACCTGCGGGTGACAGGTATGCAATGCGCCCCCATTAACGTGATGCTGCATAGCAGCAAAGCTCTGACTTGTGTCTTTTCTTAACTGTTTGTTTGCTGCTCACCAACCTCCATTCATTCTATGCAACTTTACCCCCTTCCCAGCCCGTAACTCACACTCTCTCTCACACACGCACACACTACCTGGTGTTTGTCACACACACATACGCACTAAACTGGTGTCTCTCTCACACACGGATGGACACGCACACGCAGACCCGGGCTGCCTGGGTGAGCTGGTGCCGGTGACACAAATGCGGTGTCTCCTCAGCTTGTGAGCAGCATCGCCCTGATTAGCATACAGGTGTGAGCCTTCAGCTGTGTTTGCTGTTCCCCATCTGTGCCAGACACAGACACCAGGTGTGTATGAGACAGAGAGACACCAGGTGTGTGTGTGTGTGAAAGAGAGAGAGGCACCAAGTGTGTGTGAGAGAGAGAGGGACACACTAGGTGTGTGTGTCCTTGTGGAATCCTGCTTTCTAACGTTTCCTTCCTGTAGTTTTTGGAATCCTATAGAGTAGTGATTAGAGCACTCGCATCCAAAGCGAGACACCTGGGATCAATTCCTGGCAGGGCGAAATGTTGGGCAAGTTTCCTTACTCCACACGCCTGTTTACCTTGCAGTAAGTAGAAACCCAGTTGTTAGTCGATTGGCAGATCGCTTTTCTGGGGATAATAATCCTTCAAAAAAAAACAATGATAATTTGGTCACTCAATCCACGACTGTTTGTGGGTCGCTGCTGTGCACAATTGGCTGCCGCATTTCACCCACAAATATACAGTCAATTCACTTTATAGTATATTCTGTGAAGTGCTTCAAGACGTCTTGAAGACGTGAGAAACACTATATCAAATGCAAGGATTATTATTATTATGTGTATGTGAGAGAGCGCGGGCCAGTTTGTGTGGGTGAGAGAGAGAGATGGAACGGGTCAGGGTGTGTGAGTGTGAGAGAGAGACCATGTGTGTGTGTGTGTGTGTGTAGTTGAGACACCACATTATTGTGTGAGAGAGAACGGATCACTGTGTAGGATAGAGTGTGAAACAGTAATACAATGTGAGTGGGTGGCCACACTGACTGGGGAGTGGGGACTAGTGGGAGTTCTCCAGCCCCTGCGAGTGTTTAAATAGAATTTCTGTCTTTATTTCCTCAGTAAAGCCAGGCAGTGAGCTGAAGGTGGAACAGGCTGTGAAGGATTTCAAATCGCTGAGTTTACCTGCTGTGAGGCCGCCGAGCACCCCATCACCTGTAATCGGTGTGCCAACACCATCCCAGCCCGACCAGCCCCCACCACATCCACAGCTCCCGCCACAGCTCCTACCTCCGCCAGGATGGGACCTCGCTGATGTGACAGTGAGTGATTCTGCTCTCTGCTCAGCGCCTTTGCTCTCTGTATCCTGGTAACTGAGGCCAGTACACAGCTCAAAGGTGGCCTGACTGTTCAGTATAGTGTGAGCTCGGAATCAGGCATGTCTCTGACACAGGGATGCTCTGCTGAATCCACTGTGGCAACAGCTGTGCGTTGGTTGTCAGCCAGCAACTCAGTGTCTCTGTGACCGTGTCACATGTACTCTATACTCATATGTACTCTCACTCACGCGCTCTCTCCCTCTCTCATACAAATGCTCTCTCTGTCTCTCACTCTCTCACATGCATTCTCCCTCTGTCACACATACACTTTCTATCGCACACATTCTCTCGCACACACTCTGTCTCTCGCACACATACAGTTTCACTCACTAGCATACTCTCTCTCTCACACACTCTCTCACACACACATTCGCTTTCTCTCTCTCTCTCACAGTTTCTCTCACACACACTCTCACAGCTGCACATTCAGAATAGGAATGTGTGGCATTCTTGCACAGAGCATGTGAGCAGTGAGATGCTGTCCTACGTGTTCAGACACAGGCTCAGAGAGCGTTGTTGGAATGAGAATGGCATGCTGTGCAGGGAGGGTTTGCTCTCCAGAGCTGACCTCTGGGGACATTGACCAGGTCCCAGTTACTAAGTCCCGGTCAGGACAGGTGGGGCAGGGTGGGGCCTGGCTGCCCTTCGCAGGTTCAATGATGTACTATCTGTACCGATTTCCTTCACTTTCCACTTACTTGCAATTGATATAGCGCCTTATCACATCTTCGAGACATTTCAAGGCGCTTCACAGAATATACTGTAAAGTGAATTGACTTCATATTTTGTGAGAGAATCGCAGCAGCCAACTGCACACAGCAGTGTCCCACAAACAGTTATGGATTCAATTACCAAATTTTTTTTAAAATTTCAAGGAATAATTACCCCCAGAAAAGTAATTCACCAATCGACTAACAAAAGGGTTCCTACTTACTGCTAGGTAAACAGAACGGTGTGGAGTAAGGAAACATGCTCAACGTTTCGCCTCACCTGAGAATCGAACCCAGGTCCTCTCGCTCGCGAGGCGAGTCCTCTAACCACTAAGCTATAGGACTCTTAACAATACCTCATCCCAGGGCCTGTCCCTGGGAATCGGGGAGGTAGGGTCACCCTATTGTAGGCAAATCTTTCTTCTTCCGCTTGCCTGCTAACGGAGGCCTCTGGCTAGAGGGGTGGCCTGCTCATGCCCTCTCATCATCTCCAAATGCGGGCGACAGCTGCTGACAGTGTTAGAGGACCCTGAGCAATGCAGTGTTGTCAAATATGTGGGCTGTGAACCTGGTGAGTAACCGCAATGTTGGAAGCTCCCAGCAGAGAGACTGCCCTTTGACACTCATTAACCGGTGGTGCACAGCTCCTCTCGGAGTCAGTGAGCAAAGGTGAAGCTGTGAGCAGCAGCGCCCTGCCTGTGTTCGCACACACACAGCCAGCAGCCGTTTGAATATTTACAGCAATCACAGCACCCGTCAGGAGGTCAAAGCTTCCCGGCACCAACAAGGAATGTTCGGCTACAACAGCCAGAGCTGGCAGGTGCCACACGCCAATAGCCGCAGATTTTCCGACAGCTACTTTGCCTATTTCCACTCCCCCAGAGAGGGAGAGGGGCAGGGGGTGCTCCGGGCAGCCAGAGACCAGAGGGGCAGTACCAGGGCACAGAGCTTTAAATCACTAAATCTTTGGGATGATCGTGGTGTTGACCTTTCTCTCTCCATTCCTGCCCCGGCTCCCCAGCAGGTAAATTGAGCGACCGTTCCAATGTGTGGGAGTGGGGGGGTGTTCTGTGTGTGGGTGTGGAAGTAGGGAATGGTGTGTGTGGGTGAGGGGGTGGAAGGAGGGGATTGTGTGTGGCGAGAGTTCTATGGCTGTGAATATGTGTGAGTCGGGGGAGGGTGTCTGGGAGTGGGGAGGGGGTTATCGGGGAGTGGGGAGGGGTTTATCTGGGAGTGGGGGAGGTGTATCTGGGAGTGGGGAAGGTGTATCTGGGAGTGGGGGAGGTGTATCTGGGAGTGGGAGTGGGGGGTGTATCTGGGAGTGGGAGTGGGGGGTTGTATCTGGGAGTGGGAGTGGGAGGTGTATCTGGGAGTGGGGGAGTAGAGGGTTTTAAAACACTGAAGTGGAGTTGTGCTCCGCCACTATCAAGCGCTCTGGGACTCTCCTGGGTGAGGGGGGGCACGATGTAAATGCAAGTTCTTGTTGTTGTTGAAGCCATTTGGAACTCTCCCAGCTGAAAGCAGCTGCTCAAAATAGCTGAGTGCCATGGAGCTGCTGTAATGTGACAATGGTTTGTGTAATTGATCTGCTTTGAGGTGGAGGTGAGAGCTTGAGTGCATCGAGAAAGACGCTGCCAACTCCCCACTGCCCTTTGATCCGCATTGTTTCCCTGTTTGAAGGAACCTCGTTATCCATTAAGATGATGAGTTCTGTATTGTGATGGTTAGATAAGGTGGCGGAGGTGTTCAGGACAGGCCAGAGGGACAAGCAGTCACTTAAGTGGCCAGTGATTGTGCTGTGATGCCAGGCCACTGTCCCATCTCCCACGTCACTGCCGGGAATTGACCACATTTTCTGGGCTGTAGCAGCAGAATCCCCTCTCCAGCTTCCTCTTCGATCAATGCCTACGGTCACCTCCGGCCCCTCTCACCAGCTCGGTGTCGTGGCTCTGGGACGCTACTCTGCATGAGGTGGCGCTGTGTAAATGCAAATTGTTGTTGTTGTTGCAGCAGACTTGACTCTCACAGATGTGCGTAAACTACTTTTCTCTCTGTGTGTGAGTCTCTGTGTTTGTCTCTATGTGTCCCTGTGTGTGTGCGTGTGTGTCTGTGTGTTTCTCTCTCGGTGTAAGTCTCTGTGTTAGTGTAATTGTGTGTATGTGTGTGTTTGTCTCTGTGTGTGTGTCTCTGTGTCTCTGTGTGTGTGTCTGTGTGTGTGTGAATGTGTCTCTATGTGTGTGAGTCTCTCTCTGTGGGTGAGTCTCTGTATGTGAATCTGTATGTGTGTCTGTGTCTGTGTGTGTGTGTCTATGTGCGTGCGTCTGTGCGCGTGCATCTGTGCGCGCCTGCCTGAGTCTGTGTGCGCGCACGAGTTTGTGCTCACGTGCGAGTCTGTGCGCGTGTGCGACTCTCTCTGTGTGTGAGTCTCCAGTCACTCTCTGCCCAGTGAGGTGCTGCTGACTTCACTCACTCACTCACTCACCATGTGTTACAGGCTCCCGGGCGGCGGAGGAAGAACATGACAGAGTTTTTGGGAGACGCCAGTATTCCCTTTCCTGATCCTGTGGTCCCCCTCGGCCCCTCCCTCCCTGGGGTGACCAGCGACACCTGGAAGAACCGGGCGGCCAGCAGGTTCAGTGGCCTCTTCAGCCAGGGCACAGGCATGGCAGCCTTCGGCAGGGTATGTGCGGGGGTAGGGCAAGAGAGGGTGGGGGAGCAGAGGGTGAGTGAACGGGAGGATGGTGCCACGGCGGGGTGGGAGAGTAGTGCACACTGGCACATTGGTATACACCATCACCACACACACACACCATACAACAAGAACAAAACAAAACAACAGCTACTCAGATGGGCAGAGGGTGGAAAGTGTGTTCCACAAGGTTGGTATTGGGGCCACTGTTGTTCACAATTTACATTAACGATTTGGACTTGGGGATCGAAAGTACAATTTCAAAATTTGCTGATAACACCAAATAGGGGGGTGTAGTTAATACTGAGGAGGACTGCAACAAATTACAAGACGTTAATAAACTTGATGAATGGGCATTTAATTGGCAAATGAATTAGATAGTGTGAGGCGGTACATTTTGGTAGGAGGAATAAGGAGGTCACATACTGCCTGGAAAATAAGAATCTAAATGGGGTAGAGGGACAGAGGGAACTAGGGGTACAGATACACAAATCGCTAAAAGTAGCAACACAGGTTAATAAGGCTATAGAAAAAGGAAACCAGGAGTTGGGGCTCATTTCAAGAGGGATGGAAATGAAAAGCAGGGAAGTTATGCTAAACTTATATCGAACCTTGGTTAGACCACACTTAGAATACTGTGTACAGTTCTGGCCCCCATGTTATAGAAAGGATCTAGAGGCACTGGAAAAGGTGCAAAGGAGATTTACAAGGATAATACCAGAACTGCAAGGTTATTCCTATCAGGAAAGGCAAAACAAGCTTGGACTCTTCTCTTGAAAAGAGAAGGGTGAGGGATGACCTAACAGAGGACTTTAAAACTATGAAACCATGAAAGGTTTTGTTGGATAGACACAGAGAAGATGTTTCCTCTTGTGGGGGAGACCAAAACCAGGGGCCATCAATGTAAAATAGTCATCAATAATTCAAATAGGGAATTCAGAAGAAACTTCTTTACCCAGAGAGTGGTGGGAATGTGTAACTTACTACCACAAGGAGCAGTGGCGGTAATTAGCATAGATGCATTTAATGGGAAGCTGGATAAGTACATGAGGGAGAAAGGAATAGAAGGTTATGCTTGAAGGCTTAGTTGAGGAAGGGCAGGAGGAGGCTCATGTGGAGCATAAACACCGGCATAGACAAGTTGGTCTATTTCTGTCCTGTACATCCTATGTAATTCTATGTAACAACTATTTGCGTTATATTTGTACCCTTCACACAGGGTAGAGTCTCGGAGTGTTTCAAGATACAACACTCACCTACACACACTCTCGCACACAAAACAGGAGGAAGGTTCTCTATCCAGTAGTCAGCTTCCACCCAATGTGAAATGTATAAAGCTTTACAATCTCCTGTTGACCCCATAGGAAATGGATAAAATGGACCTGTTGCAGAGCAAGCTGCAGGGCTACAGCCTGTTCGGGCTGCCCAGGAGACCCGCTTCCCTGCGCTTCCAGCAGGACTCGTGGGAGGAGGATGCCAGCCTGTACCTGGAGGCCTCGTGGCAGGACCTCATCCAGGCTCCTGAGGTAAAGCTCTCAGTGAGAGAGACCCACGCACCCACCCCCATACACCAAACCCTATACACCCCCACCCCCAAACACCACACACATACACACACCCACAAACACACACTTATAGCCCTCCCCCTCCCCCATACACCCAACGGTGGGTGGGGTTTGGGCTGGGCCAAGGGTGTGAGGCTAACGTGACCATGTACCTTACAGAAACTGCCTCGGAAACAGAGCCACCAGCAGGAAGCTATCTGGGAGCTGCTCACCACTGAAGCCACCTACATCAGGAAGCTCCGCGTCATCACTGATGTGAGTTACACACCTGGCAGAATGATTTGCCTGATATTACTAATAATAATCCTTGTATTTCATAGGGTGCCTTTTCACGTCTTCGAGACGTCTTAAAGCGCTTCACAGAATATACTGTAAAATGAATGGACTGTATATTTTGTGGGTGAAACGCGACAGCCAAGGGTCCCACAATTAGTCGTGGATTGAGTGACCAATTTATTATTATTTATTTTATTTTTTACATTATTTTTTGAAGGGCTTATTACTTGCCCAACATTTCGCTCTGCCCGGGAATCAAATCCAGATCAAGCGTGTGCTCTAATCACTACGCTACAGGACTCCACAAATTCCATGTGGATTCACATACACGCCAGCCTGATCCGGGTTACACGTGGATTTACACACTACACACTTACATTAATCACTATAACTGAACTCTTCCCACCCCTGAATTTTGTCCCCTCGTTTCCTGACGACCCAGTCAGGTGCTGAGGGCAGGGTAGCACCCGCTCCAATCTGTGAGCCCAGGTGTAGTGATGGTGAGAGACCATGTTGTTCCCAGGGGGGTGGGCAGCAGGGGAGACCCCAGCCCAAGGACTCAGCTATCGCAGTTCTGCCCAGGCTGGTCGGCAGGGAGGTTAGGGGACAGTGTGAACCATATAATAATCATCCTTGCATAATAATAAACCACATGAGGTTTTTGGGGCAGGTGAAAGAATACCTCTGTGTATGTGTGTCTGTGTGTGTCTCTGCGTGTCTGTGTACGCGTGTGTGTGCGCGCTGTGAAGGCTGACTGTGTGTGTGTCTCCCTCTCTCTGCAGCTCTTCCTGTCATGCCTGATGAACCTGCAGGAATCGGGCCTCCTGTCTGAGGTGAGGATCTTGTTGGCAGGGTAGGGGGAGGGTGGGTCGGAGAGGTGTAGTTGGAGGGGAAGTAGGGGGAGAGGGAGGGGGGGTGCAGTGGGGGAGGAGTGATGGGTGGGAGACGCTGTGACTGACTCACACTGTTACACAGGTGGAGCCGGACAAGCTGTTCTGTAATGTGCAGGAGCTGATCGAGGTGCACAAGGCACTATGGGGGGAGGTGCTTTACCCCGTGGTGGAGGCCGCGCGTAGGAACCAGTCTCTGCTTGACCCGAGCGGGTTACACCAGGGTTTCAGCACGGTGAGTCCAGGCCAGACATCCCAACCTAGTAACACTCACCAGCCTGGCTGTGGGTAACCCACCTCTCTCTAACCAGCCATCACTAACCATCAGTGTGTGATCTGTCGCGAGCTCTTGTCTCAGTGCTGAACTATCTTGACAACCTCACCCTTTCTCTCACCCGCTCACTCACCGTTTCTCTCACTGTCTCATCCACTTTCTCTCTTTCTCTCTGTTTTGCTATCGCTCACTATGTTTCTCTTCGCTCAGCGACTTGGGATGAGCTCCCAGCGTGACAGACAATGTACACACATCATTAGTTGTTGTTGTTGACAGTTCGGGACACGGTTCCAGCCGTACACACGGTATTGCTTGGAGGAGGAGGGCAGCCTGGAGTACATGCGCTGCCTCCTGCGTGACAACGATCGCTTCAGGATCTACGTTACGGTCAGTGCCCCCAGATACTGCCCACCCGCCCCTCTCTCTCCCCTCTCCTCCGCCTTTCTCTCCCTTCTCCCCCGCCTCTCTCTCCCCCCATCTTTCCCCCACCCCACACATCCCTCTCTTATCCCCACCACTCTCTCACCTACCACCTGTCTCTCCCCACCGACTCTCTCTCGCCCGCCCTCTCTCTGTCCTCCACATCTCTCTCTCTCTCCCCCCCGCCACACTCTTCCCCCACCTGTCGACATTGTATGTGACTGTGTGTCTGTGTGTGCAGTGGGCAGAGACGCACAAGCAATGTAACCGGCTGAAGTTGAGCGACATGTTAGTGAAGCCGCATCAGCGACTGACCAAGTACCCGCTGCTGCTCAAGTCCGTGCTCAAGAAAACAGACGAGCCCCGCGCTCGGGAAGCCCTCATCAGCATGGTACGTTCGCGGCCGCCGCCAAGCTCCTCCCCGCCCATTTCCCCCACTCCCCCTACCAAGATCCCCCACACACACACACTCTCTCACATGTACTCTCTCACACACACGCACTCTCACACGCACTCTCACACACTCACTCTCACACACATGCTCTCACACACATGCTCTCTGTGTGCAGGTCAGTGCTGTTGAGGGCTTTATCGCTCAGGTGAACTCTCGCATGAGACAACGACAGGAGCAGCAGCGACTGGCGGCCATCATCAGCCGCATTGACTCGTATGAGGTGGTGGACGGCAGCTCAGAGGAGGTGGAGAAGGTAGAGAGAGAGGGAGAGACCCGTGGGGAGGCAGCGGCGGCTCTCGCTGTGGGTTACACTGTTTCAGACCTGCCTTAAAACCTCACTCACTTTCTCTCTTCCACTGTTTCTCACTTTCTTTATCTTTTGCTATCTCTCACTGTCTTTCTCTTCCTTTACACTTTCTCTTTCTCTCTCTCTCTCTCTCTCTCTCTCTCTCGGTCTCTCTGTCTCACTCTCTTTCTCTCTCTCTCGGTCTCTCTGTCTCATTCTCTCTCAGGTGCTGAAGGAGTTCTGCCACTTGGACCTGATGGCCCCAATGCTGGACACATCCCCTGAACACACGAGGCAGCTGGTGTTGGAGGGCAGCCTGCGGATGAGGGAGGGGAGAGATAGCAAGGTGAGCGGTCAGCCACATACCTCTCACAGCCGAGATCACAGAACATTTCTTCATGGTACAACAACAGCAACAACAATAATAATGAGCCGGGCTGACACACAGCGAGCCGGGCTGACACACAGCGAGCCGGGCTGACACACAGCGAGCCGGGCTGACACACAGCGAGCCGGGCTGACACACACCGAGCCGGGCTGACACACACCGAGCCGGGCTGACACGCACCGAGCCGGGCTGACACGCACCGAGCCGGGCTGACACGCACCGAGCCGGGCTGACACACACCGAGCCGGGCTGACACACACCGAGCCGGGCTGACACACAAACCCTTTTGCTCCTCACAGATGGATGTCTATTGCTTCCTCTTCACTGACATCTTCCTGATTACCAAACCGGTAAAGAAAGCCGAGAGAACCAAGGTGATCCGGCAGCCCCTGCTGGTGGAAAAGATTATTTGCCGGGAGCTGAGAGATCCTGGTGAGTTTAGTTGCCGATCTAACACTGATCTGCTGTCGCTGGTGTCGCTTGAGGCTGCCGGTGGGAGAGGGCGTAGGCGGGGGAGGGCGGCCACACTGCGAGAGACAGTGATGGGAAACGTGTCAACAGAGATTGCGGGGACAGTGGAATGGGAGATGACGGGAACTGGTGGTAACATTCCCATTGTGTGTCCTCAGGTTCTTTCCTGCTGGTCTACCTGAATGAGTTCGGCAGCGCTGTGGCCGCCTACACCTTCCAGGCTGGCAGTACCGCAGGGGGCCGAGCCTGGACCGAGGCCCTGGGCAACGCACAGGTCAGTGTTGGTGGGGCTGGGGGGGAAAGGGACTGGTGAAGGAGTGAGAGGGGCAGGAGGAGGGAGCAGGGGGGCTGGGGGGGAACGAGGGAGTGGGGGCTGGAGGAGTGGGGATGAAGAGGGGCTGGTTGCGGGAGGGCAGGGGAGATGGAATGAGGTTTTGGAGGTGGGGAAGGGGGTGGGGGTACGGGGTGAAGCAGGTCTCTGGAGGCCGCTGTGACAGTGATGACCATTGCAGAGTCGGGTGCGGAGGCTTCGGGAGAGGGAGCGGCGACGGAAGCAGCCGCTGGGAGAGGAATTGGAGAGTGACGGCTCAGCCGGCAGCTCCCCGTCACTGGAGCACAGACCCTCGGCCTCACCACCTGCCCAGCACAGGTACTGCGCTCCCAGCACTGCCCCTCCTGCCTTGGCACAGCACCATCCCACCCGGCATAGCGACCTCCCCTTCGGCACAGCGCCCTCCCCTGGTACAGCGCCCCCCCCCCCACCGCCCTCACAGCCCCCAACCCCCGGCTCAACCCTCACCACCCCCCGGCACAAAGCTAACCTCCTCCCCACCTGGCACAGCCCCCTCCCCCCCCGGCAAAGCCCCCAAGTTGGGTTTGAGACTCGGCGGCCCCAGCCTGTCCCTTAAATTCCCTAAGCTCCTCAGGTTGACAGCCTAAGGATGTCTCCCTGTTGGTTCCCAATCCCAGAGGAATGTCAGGTGCTGGGATCAACGAGGGGAGGGAGAGTGCGGAATAGGTGCTGATAGGAACAGGAGGAGAGCACGGGTGTTAGGTAACCAGTTACTGAAGCGGTTGTTGGTATTCCTGGGTTAGACTTAGTGTGTGATGACGTGTAACTAAGAGGGTATAAGTTGAGAGGTGATTATTATAATAATAATCCTTGCATTTGATATATCGCTTTATAACGTCCTCAAGATGTCTCAAAGTGGTTCTCAGATTATATTGTAAAGTGTAGTGACTATATTTTGTGGGTGAGACGCGGCAGCCAATTGCATGCAGCAGTGTCCCACAAACAGACCTGGATTGAGTGACCAAATTATTGTTTTTTTTTCAAGGGATTATTACCCCCAGAAAAGTGATCTGCCAATCGACTAACAACTGGGTTCCTACTTACTGCTAAGTAAACAGAGGTGTGTGTGTGGAGTAAGGAAACTTGCCCAATGTTTTGCCCTGCTCGGGAATCGAACCCAGGTCCTCTCACTTGCAAGGCCCATGCTCCAACCTCTGAGCTACAGGACTCTGCATAAACTTGTCCCTGGGTTTGGGTGAGATTGCGTATGGAGAGCTGTCTGGCGCAGGGTTACCACGGTGCCTGTGCTCACACTGACCCTCTCCCTATGCCCACACTGACCCCCTCTCCATGTGCCCACATTGACCCCCATCCCCTCTCCCTGTGCCCGCACTGTCCCCTCCCCATTCCCTGTGCCCGCATTGACCTTCCTCCCCTCTCCGTGTGCCCACACTGACCCTCCATCATCTCCGTGTGCCCACACTGACCCTCCATCATCTCCGTGTGCCCACACTGACCCCCCTCTCCCTGTGTCCACACTGACCCTCTCCACCTCTCCCTTCAGCCAGTCACACAGCCCGGCGGAGCCCGTTTCAGTTGTGATTGTGGATGTGACCGAAGATGTGTCGTCGCCTCCCTCCAGCAGGGGGACGGGGGAGGTGCCCTCGGAGTCACCCCCGAACCCTAACACCCTGACATTGGCCACCAACACCTGCCGCTCAGCCTCTATCGACAGCGCCTACGGCACCATGTCTCCCAGTTCCGTGCGGGAGTTTGGGGAACAGCAGCAACGGGAATCAGCGGATGAAGATCTGGAATCCTCGTGCTCACAGCATTCCACCTCCCCCAAGCTCCGGCTCCCAATAATTCCTGCCCGGGCACTGCAGTGCCGGCAGGAAGTTTCCAAATCCAAATCCGAAGCCAATCTACTCCAGCTGCTCTGGTGCTCAGCAGCCTCGCCTTCCCAGACGCACCTGAGCCAGAGCCGGAGCTTGACTGAAATCTCCAGGTGTGGGATAAGTGCCCCCGCACAGGGCCCACAGGGTCAGCCTGACCGGCCCAAACCCCGGGCCAGCAGAGTGGCCGACACGCTGAGACGGGCCGAGGCCAGGGTCTTGGGCAGGTGGGCCTCCCCTGACAGCAGCAGCAGCAGCAGCAGCGACTCAGAGCTGTCCGACATGGAGCAGTTGGAGTTTGTAAAGGGACACGTCTCCCCCTGCCTTCCTGCTTCTGGTGCCTGCCCACGGCCCCCCAGCACTGACAACAGCAGCACCGATGTCAGCTCGTCATGTCCGGAGCCCCTCACTGCGCAAAGGGATTCCGAGGGTGTGGCAGGGGGTTCCCAGGGTGTGGCAGGGGGTTCCCAGGGTGGGCAGGGGATTCCCAGGGTGGGGCAGGGGATTCCCAGGGTGGGGCAGGGGATTCCCAGGGTGGGGCAGGGGATTCCCAGGGTGGGGCAGGGGATTCCCAGGGTGGGGCAGGGGATTCTCAGGGTCCGGGAGAACATTCCCAGTCTCCGGGAGAGGATTCCCAGTCTCTGGGTGTGGAGGAAATGGTTGGTGAGGATGGTGACAGAGCCGATATGTTAGGAGGAGTGGCGGAACCAGGGCAGCACAGGAAGCTGACGCTGGCACAGTTACACCGAATCCGGACTACACTGCTGCTGAACTCCACACTGACCGCATCGTGAGTGACCGCTTACTGCCTGTTCCGTGGCTGTGCACATACGGCCATGCCTCGGACGTGTGTGTGTGTGTGACCTGCGCCTGGACATGGCAATGCTCTCAGCTTTATATTGATCTGCGCTGTACTGCTCTCCAAGGTCTAGCTCCAAGGTCAAGTGTTTGGCAATGGAATTGAGCCCACAATCTGTGCCGGTCTCTAGTCTGGTTCCTGAACCAGAAAGGCCCACAGCACAGCCCAGCCTGGCTCATCGGCAGGACCTGGAAGGGCAGACCAGTTACTGGGGGCAGGGAGTCATCCTGCTCAGCTCCTGTTAACCCTGTAAGCCAAAGCCCTGACGGGTCAGGTGGCCCTAACTGGTTTGGAAACTGTGATACGTTTCTGTTTGTGTCAGACGCCTGACTGACCAAAACCACCCTTTGGGGTGGGAGAGAGGGGGGGATCTGTACTGTGTAGGGGGTGGATAGAAAGCTTGTCACAATCTCTGGGTGTTTTCTGCTGGAGGTGTTATATGAGGTGCTATATTTGTGATTGATGCAACCTCAGCAAGTTCTAAATATGTCAGACGTGCGGCAGATAATCAGTGATGACAATTCCAGGCAGCCGCGGCACTTATGTATCTGGTTTGTACAGAGACTAGTTTCAGCGCCTTGGACGTGAAAGGCTCTCTATACAAATGTAATTTGTGCTTGTAATAATAATAATAATCCTTGCATTTGATATAGCGCATTATCACGTTGCTGAGACGTCTCATAGAGCTTCACAGGATATACTGTAAAGTGTAGAGACTGCATTTTGTGGGCAAAACACGGCAGACAATTGAGCACAGCCGTGTTCCACAAACAGTCATGGATTATTATTTATTATTAATTATAATTAACTATAAATGATTAATTATAATTAATCATTAGTTGTAAATTATTAATTATAATTAACTATTGTAAATTATTATAAATTAGTAATTATAAAAATGATTAATTATAAATCATCACTAATTATAAACACTACTTTTTTGTTGCAAGTTGTTTTTGTTGGGAGCTGATGTGTCCATTTTCTCTCTCACACAGGGAAGTGTAACGGGTGATGGGATGTGAGAGTTTCTGACAAAACCCAACGTGAACTCTGAGAAGTGTTGCGACAAAGTGGCACCAGAAGTGGTGGCTGTTGCCCGGGGGCTCAGAGAGAGAGAGGGGCTATTTGTGAGGGAATTGGTGCAATCTGCAGCCTGGAGTCGCCTGGATTCGGACTTCCAGGGGCTGGGAAGGAGCGGGGGTGCCTGTGTGCCGGGCAGGTGTGCGAGCCCGACAGTCAGTGATTTCATCCCGGTGAAATCTTAAACCTTTTGAGGGAAGAGAACGAAGGAATTCAGGAATTGCACATCGCAAGTAAGGCTTCAAATCTACCCGGGGAAAAGATCTGATTTTTTTTTTAAAAAAAGAAAAGAACCGATGCTGGCCCTTAGCGGAATCCGTAACCGTTTGGGAAAAGCTTTACTCCGCGACTTGTTCTGTCTGTGCTGGGCCAATCAGTCACCGACAGACATGGGGTTCCCCAAGCCCTCTCACCACCCCACCTGTGCCTGATACTCACCAGAATTAAGCGCTCTCCAATCCACGACCGTTTGTGGGATACTGCTGTGCGCAATTGGCTCCCGTGTTTTGCCCACAAAATATAGTCAATTCACGTTACAGTATATGCTGTGAAGCGTTTTGAGACGTCTCAAAGACGTGATGAGGTGCTAAATCAAATGAAAGGATTATTATGATAAGTAAGCAGGGTGCGTATCCCTCCAGGGAAGAGAGTTTGCATTCCATTCCAGACACAGCGAAATTTCTACTGTAGCTGGCCAGCACTCACTCTGTCTGGTTTGGATCCTCTGTAAGCACGGTGATGGGTATCCGCGAGTGTCAGACATTTTGGGGGTTATCACATAAGCCCAAGAAGCACAGATTCCACGGTTGGGGGTGGGAGTGGAGCACGGACATGAACCTGGAGACGAGCTGGAACTGTTGTGGCCAGTTCCTGAGTCACCACAAGTGGATGGGGGATGGGGAACAGGAGGCAATGGCCCGATCCCCTAACGCTCACTGACTAAGCTCAGAGGCAGGCTGATGTCAGCGCTCTTCCCAACGCTGTCTGGTCATCTTTAATTAAACCATAACAATGTTTTCTTTCTTATGTATAAAGTTTCATATTTATTGAGCTTTCTGTGTTTATTGTGTAAAATGCGTTTAATGTTTTATTGAATGTCGCGGTCAGCCTGTTAATGGCAAAACCACTTCACACAGCGTCAGGTTCCAGCCCCAAGGGATTGAATGAAGGCGATCGATCATGACCTGCTCCCCCCCCCCCGACCACCCGGACATTAAATTTCTTGCAAACAATATTTGGCTGAAGCGATTCTTTTATTCAGGGGGAGGAAGAGAACCAGGAGCGATTTTCCTTAAACATAGAGATGTGAGATAAGTCCTGAGCAAAGCTGATCAGAGAGGAGACCACATTGGACAGCTATTTAAGTATCCCTCCTGATCACAACCCCCAGCTCAGGTCCAAATCCCTGACTGTCCGGCACCTTGGGACTGTCCAGTCCTCCCGACCCGAAAGGCGCTGTGTAAATGTCATTTATTGTTGTCATTGTTGTGATGTAAGTGGGAGAATGTTTGTGTGTGAGAGCAATTAGGAATCTTCATCCCTGTCCACATCCATCCCCACATGGAGCCCTGTAGCTCAGTGGTTGGAGCGCTCGTCTCACAAGTGAGAAGACCTGGGTTCAACTCCCGGGAGGGCGAAAAGTTAGGCAAGTTTCCTCTCTCCCCACGGCTCTTACCCAGCAGTAAGCAGCAGTAAGTAGGAACCCAGTTGTTAGTCGATTGGCGGTTCGCTTTTCGGGAGTAATAATCCCTTCTCAAATTTTTTTTAAAAAATATTAATTCGATCGCTCAGTTTGTGGGACAGTGCTGTGCGCCATCAACTGTGTATTTGGTCACTACACTTTGCAGTACACTGTGAAGCACATTAAGACGCCTCAAAGACCTGATAAGGCGCTATGTCAAATAATAACAACAATCCTTGAATTTGATATTGGTCCTTATCGCGTGTCCGAGACGTCTCAAAGCGCTTCACAGGACACACTGTAAAGTGAATTGACTGTATGTTCTGTGGGCGAAACCCGGCGGCCGATTGCGCACAGCGGCGTCACCGCAAACCGCCGCGGACTGAGGGACCAAATTATTATTTTTTTAAAAAAAATTGAAAGGGATTATTCCCCCCAAAAAACAGTCCATTTTGCCCCGAGTGGCTCGGGGCGGGGCCACTCCCCCCCACACCCCCCCCACACCCCCCTCCCCCCCCACACCCCCCTTCCCCCCCCCCACACACCCCCCCACACCCCCCTCCCCCCCCCACACCCCCTCCCCCCCCCCACACCCCCTCCCCCCCCCCACACCCCCCTCCCCCCCCACACCCCCCCCACACCCCCCTCCCCCCCCCACACACCCCCCCACACCCCCCTCCCCCCCCACACCCCCCTCCCCCCCCACACCCCCCCTCCCCCCCTCCCACCCCCCACACCCCCCTCCCCCCCTCCCCCCCCCCACACCCCCTCCCCCCCCACACCCCCCTCCCCCCCCACACCCCCCTTCCCCCCCCCCACACCCCCCTCCCCCCCCCACACCCCCGCACGCGGTGCGGTTGATGATATGAGGAGTTTCCGAGACGCGTTTCCTCCTCTCGACTCCGGAGTTAATTCAGCGAAACCCGAACATTTCCCTTCCCGGAGACTGTGCCGATGAGGGTCGCTGTGTGGCTCTGCCTGTGGGTGAGTGACTGTAGGGGCAGTGGGGGGGGCAGTGGGGCAGTGGGGGGGGGGCAGTGGGGGCAGTGGGGGGGGCAGTGGGGGCAGTGGGTGAGTGACTGTAGGGCAGTGGGGGGGCAGTGGGGGCAGTGGGGGGGGCAGTGGGGGGGGCTGTGGGGGCAGTGGGGGGGGGGCTTTTTGTGAGTGACTGTGGGGGGGCAGTGAGTGAGTGACTGTGGGGGCAGTGGGGGGGCAGTGGGTGAGTGACTGTGGGGGGCAATGGGTGAGTGACTGGGGGGGGCAGTGGGTGAGTGACTGTGGGGGGCAATGGGTGAGTGACTGGGGGGGCAGTGGGTGAGTGACTGTGGGGGCAGTGGGTGAGTGACTGGGGGGGGCAGTGGGTGAGTGACTGGGGGGGCAGTGGGTGAGTGACTGGGGGGGGCAGTGGGTGAGTGACTGGGGGGGAACAGTGAGTGAGTGACTGGGGGGGGCAGTGGGTGAGTGACTTTGGGGGGGGCTAGTGGGTGAGTGAGTGACTGGGGGGGCAGTGAGTGAGTGACTGGGGGAGCAGTGAGTGAATGAGTGACTGGGGGGGCAGTGGGTGAGTGACTGTGGGGGGGCAGTGGGTGAGTGACTGGGGGGAACAGTGAGTGAGAATGGGGAGAACAGTGACGGTGGGGGGAGCAGTGGGTGAGTGACTGTGGGGGGGTAGTGGGTGAGTGATTGGGGGGAACAGTGAATAAGTGACTGGGCGGGCAGTGAATGAGTGACCGGGGGTCAGTGAGTGAGTGACTGGGGGGCAGTGAGTGAGTGAGTGAGTGAGTGACTGGGGGGCAGTGAGTGAGTGAGTGACTGGGGGACAGTGAGTGAGTGAGTGACTGGGAGGGCAGTGAGTGAGTGAGTGACTGGGAGGGCAGGGGTGAGTGACTGGGGGGAACAGTGAGTGAGTTACTGGGGGGGGGCAGTGGGTGAGTGACTGGTGGGGGCAGTGGGTGAGTGACTGGGGGGAACAGTTAGTGAGTGACTGGGGGGGGCAGTGGGTGAGTGATTGTGGGGGACGACTGGGAGAGCCATGGGTGAGTGACTGGGGGGGGGGCGGGCAGTGCGTGAGTGACTGGGAGAGCCATGGGTGAGTGACTGGGGACTGGGGAGAGGGGGGGGGGCGCAGTGGGTGAGTGACTGGGAGAGCCATGGGAGGGGGGGGGGGCAGTGGGTGAGTGACTGGAGAGCCATGGGAGGGGGGGGGGGCAGTGGGTGAGTGACTGGGGGGGGCAATGGGTGCGTTGAGTGGTGGTGGGGAGGGGGTGTAATTGTTAGTTTGATTGTTTGGCTGTTGCCCGAGTTTGGGTTTAAAGGATCAGAAACAGCGTCACTCAATCCCACACAGTGGGTCATTCACTCCACCCTCAAGGCCGGGCAGCGAGCGTGTCAAATAAAACACTGGACAAACTGCAGAGTACACAGTCACTACACTGCACAGTGAATCCTCTGACGCCTGTTGAGACGTGAAAGGCGCTGGACGAAACGTGAGGCTTATTGTCGTGTTGGATGTGCGTGCCCTTACACCACAGGCGGGGCCTGAATGAGTGACGAGGGGGTGGGGGGGTGCGCCCGGTTGGGCCGGGTGTGTCCCCGAACCTGCGGCCGCCTCCATTAGCCACAAGCTCTCTGCTGTTCCTGTGCTGTGTTTCGGGTTTCAGTGTTTCTTGGCTGTGGCCGACTCTGGAGAAGTGAAAGGATTAAACTTCCTCAACACACCGCGCCAGTCCACAAGTGACTTCGACCCGTTTCCCTCTGTTAACGAATCAGGTCAGGACTCTGCTGGAGGGAGGCCCTCCAGGTGCATTTTGCGCTCCTGGTCCATTCCCAAAGCAGCCTCGTCTGGTTGGACATGTGTGTGTGTGTGTGAGACAACCGGGTGGGGAGAGGTCACGCTCGGCTGTCATGCCCTCTACGATCGCATGGCTCAGCCGACACTCACACATGGACAAAGGCCACTTGCGAGGGTATTGGGGGCCCCAGGGCCTGGGGACCCACGCCCCAGGGTGCGGAGGCCAGGCCAGGTGTAAAAGCAAATGGGAGCAAATTAGAACCACACGGAAATACTTATAAATAGAAGGAAATTTGTGCCGCTTCGAGTGAATCGTACATGTGCTGTGTTAGAGAGTGTCCATCCCCCTAGCGCGCGCGCGCGAGCGTGTGTGTGTGTGTGTGTGTGCTGTGTTAAACACTGCCCATCCCCTGGCGTTTTCTATTGAGGTTAGCTTAATCGCTGAGGGGGTGGGGGAAGTCACATACCCAGTGTGAGGAATGTATGAAGAGGGAAGGATGAGTGAGCCAGTGGGAGGAGTGCTCAATGAGCTGCTGTGACCAAGCTGGTGACAATGACAACAACAACTTGCATTCATATATTACCTTTCAAGCCAGATGACATCTCGAAGTGCTTAAGGCAGAGCCGCCACAAGGCAGAGAGAGATGTTATGACCTACTTTGCAGTGCTGCGTTAGCGTAATCAAAGGCTGTATTTGAGAAGGTCCCGGCGACAGACACCAGCCCACAAGGTGTTGAGTTGATATTAAATGTCAGTGAAGGCGGTGAGGATGGAGGGCGCTGTGTATCAGATGTTTTGTTGCGGTGATGAATGTGTGACTCAGTGTTCAGCATTCACTCCGGCCCCTGATAGGGACTCAGGGTTTTCACAGAAAAAGGGGGTTGGAGTATAGTGCTTGGGGTGGGGTTTGGGGCCACTTGCCAGGCAGGAGGTTGCTAACATACTCACCAGACCCACAAGATATACAGTCACTACACTTTGCAGTATACAGTGAAGCGCTTTGAGGTGTCTCGAAGCATTATAAGGCAGGATTATTATTAGTGGTTATCCTCGCTGCTCTCCTCTGCACGGCCTCCAGGACCCTGGACACTGACCGGAGCACCACACAGCATGAGTGTGATGTCCGGAGAATCTTAACACGGCTGATTAGGCAACACTGTACTGTACTGCCTGGCCATGTCTACTGCCTGTACTTGTTGCCCAGGTGTGGGAGTGAATGGAAAATTTTAATGTGTAAATAAAATTATTGAATCTATTATGAAACGACACATTCTTCACCCCCAGAGTTTCAGTGCAGCAGATACTTTAGTTTATTTCCTGCTGATACTATCTGACTACTATCCTCCAGTGGGGGTGGGGGGAAAGGTAAGGTGAAGAAATGTCCAGAATCAAGTGGACCATCTGTGGTCGATGGTTTTTAGTCCAATGTTTGAGCGGGTAGCGATGTGTCAGGGGTTGAGGGGTGGGAGGGGGGGGACCAGGCGACAGAGGTTTTGATGCACTAACCAGTTATCACATTAATAACTCAATGTCTTTTACTTCGAAAGGACGTCCCAAGCATTTCACAGGATGCACTGTAAAGTGAAGTAAATGTGTGTTTTGTGTGCAAAACACGCCTCATTTGCGCAATTAAATCCATTTATCTATCTGTAAATCAGGATCTTTTGATAAGTTCTTGTAATGCTGATTCAACAAAGTTGTGTTCCACAAGAGACGGAAATCCTCCTGATAAACCAACAACTTCTTCACAATCGAAGCATATTTCTACAATCACACAGTGATTGAACAGTAATTTATTGTGACTCTAACCCTGACCTGGGAGTGTGGACGCACAGTGTAGAGGGAGCTTTACTGTGTCTCTAACCCTGATTTGGGAGTGTGGATGGACAGTGTAGAGGAACAGTTACGCGGTGTGTAGGATGCGTGGGCAGCACTGATGGCCGGTGGCTAAGGGATGGAGAAGACGTGGTGATGTCTGGGTCTGATTGTCACCCATCATAAAGTCCCTCTGACGCCTGTTCCCAATGCTCTGTGTGTGTGTGTGTGTGTGGGGGGGGGGGGGGGGGGTGCTGTGTGTGTATGTGAATGGGAAGACTGAGCTCTTTCTTGTTTCAATCTGATCAAGGATCCATTCCAGGTTTCAAGACTGAGGTGGATAGATATTTGTTAGGTCAGAGTATCAAGGGATATGGGGCAAAGGCGGGTAACTGGAGTTGAGGTACAGATCAGCCATGAGTGTGACAGTGTGTGTGAATGTGACGGTGTGTGTGCCAGCGTGTGTCTCCCGCTCCACACCCCTGGATGCTGGTGAGGTTTCCGGTAGCGGTACCCGGTTATTTTTCCGGTTGTTGTCACTTTGCAGACCCGTAGCTTAGTGATTAGAGCCTCGCAAGCGAGAGACAACAACAGCAGCAACAAAGTTACGTTTGTATAGCGCCTTTCATGTCGGGAGGATGTCCCAAGGCGCTGGACCTGGGGTCGGGATCGGGGAGGGTGGAGAGCAGGGGTGAAGCAGGGTGATCGACAGCAAAGTCGAAGAGGAGAGTTTTGAGATGGGTCTTGAAGGAGGCAAAGGGAGGGGGCGAGGCAGAGCGACTGCGGGATAGAGTTCCGGAAGGTGGGGACAGAGTAGCAGAAGGCTCGCCCGCCAATAGTGGGGCGAACAACACGGGTGAAGCAGACCGGAGCATGGTAGAGGGTTAGAAGGTCGCAGAGGTAGTGGGGAGCAAGACTATAGAGGGCTTTGAAGGTGAGGACCAGGATCTTGAACTGTATTCTCTAAAACCTGTGACCTTGAGACCTGGGTTCAATTCCCGACCAGGGCAAAACATTAGGCAAGTCTCCTTACTCCACGTGACTCTGCACACCCAGCAGTATATAGGAACCCTAGAAAATAGGAAGGTGGGGAATAATCCCTTATAAAAAATAATAATTTGGTCACGCAATCTACAACTGTTTGTGGAATACTGCTGTCGCAATTGGCTGCTGCGTTTCGCCCACAAAATATACCGTCACTACGCTTTACAGTATATTCTATGAAGCACTTTAAGACGTCTCAAAGACGTGATGTGGCACTAAATCAAATGCAATGATATATTATTAAATTACTTGGTCCCATGTGCGACGCTCACTGACCTGTGCTGACCTTTGCTGACCCTGGCCACAGGTTTGTGCTGGCGACCCCGCCACCGGCTCCGGCTCCAGCCAGACATCCCGGGAAGCCGGGGGAGCGTGGGAAACCTCTGCTGGGAAACATCCCGGGAATTCTACACAGTGGAGAAAGAGGGACAGAGCCAAGCTGGAGAGGAGCGAGCGACGGCAGGAGAGACACAGCCCACAGATATGTCAGGACAATCAATATTATGACCAGGCATCGGGCAGGTGCTGCATGATGTGCCTGACAGGTGGGCAACTCCGCACCCTCACCCCACCCCTCATTCCTATCCCCCAGCTCACACACACACACCCCCATACACACCCACTGGGGCTGGGTCAGGGTAGGGCTGGTTGGGGGGCAGGGTCGGGGTGGGTGTGGTGAAGGGCAGAAGACACGGCTGGGCTGGTTGGCGGGGAGGGGTGGGGGCACGGTGGGGCTGGTTGGCGGGGGGGTGGGGGCACGGCTGGGCTGGTTGGCGGGGGTGGTGGGGGCACTGTGGGGCTGGTTGGGGGGCAGGGTCAGGGTGGGTCTGGTGAAGAGCAGGGTCAGGGTGGGTCTGGTGAAGGACAGGGGACACGATGGGGCTGGTTTGGGGGGCAGGGGGTAGGGTGGGGCTGGTCAGAGCAGGGCTGTGTCAAGGTGGGGCTCATTGGGGTGGGGTTATGTCAGGGGGCAGGGCTGTTTGGAGTGGGGGCAGGATGGGGTTGGGGCTGGTGAAGGGTTGTGTCAGGGCGGGGCTGGTGAAGAGTGGGGTTGTGTCAGGGCGGGGCTGAGCACAGGTGGCGATAGTGACTGTGTGTTTCAGGTTATTACTGGGTGGCCTCTTGCGACCAGCCAGGTGGCCCTGCCCAATGCAAGCCATGTCTCAGTGAGACCTACATCGCCCACCCCAACTACGAAAAGAAGTGTAGACGTTGCAGAAGCTGTGATTCTGGTAACTGCCTCTCTGTGGGTCAGTGTGTGCGCGCATGTCTGTGTGTGTCTCTCTGTCTGTGTGTGTCTCTCTGTGTGTCTGTGTGTGTCTCTCTGTGTGTCTGTGTATGTGTCTTTCTCTCTGTGTGAGTGTGAATTGGTGTATGTGTGCCTCTCTCTCCGTCTCTATGTGTATGTGTATCTCTGTGTGTCTGTCTCTATGTGTATGTGTATCTCTGTGTGTCTGTCTCTATGTGTGTGTGTGTGTCTCTCTGTGTACCTGTGTCTCTCTCTCTCTGTATCTATGTGTGTGCCTCTCTCTGTCTATGTGTTTGTTTCTCTCTCTCTCTGCCTCCATGTGCGTGCGAGTGCGTCTTTCTGTCTGTGTGTGTGTCTGTCTCTCTCTATCCCTCTGTGTCTTTATGTGTGTGTATTTCTCTCTCTATGTCTGTCTGTGTGTGTCTCGCTCTCTCTGTGTGCTTCTCTCTCTCTGTCTCTGTGTGTGTCTCTCTCTCGCTCTTTCTGTGTCTGTGACACAACGAGCTGTGGTTGATGAGCTGACATGTTGTCCCCAGAACACCAGGTTATCAAAAACTGCACCTCGACTAATGACACTGTCTGCGGTTGCCCCAAGGGCAAATATCAAAATTGTGACCATGAACGCTGTCAAAATTTCCGCTGCCTGAGCTGCACCTCGTGCCTCCAGCGACAAGTCACCATCACCTGTGAGTCATAGTGGGGCTGGGGATGGGACCTGGGTTGGGAGTGGGGCCAAGGCTGTTTACCATCACTTTTCACCCACAAGATATTAGTCACTAAACGTTAGACTTCACAGTCTATCCTGTGAAGGGATTTGAGGACGTCTCGAAGACGTGATGATCAAACTCAAGGATTATTATAATTATGGCTTTCACTCCGCAGGTTCAGACAGAGCGGACACGAGCTGTGGAGATTGTCTCCCCGGATATCAAATGAACAGTGACCAGTAAGTTTTGCTGTCTGACTCGTGCTGTGGCTGACCTGGGAGTGTGGACGCGCAGTGTAGAGGGGGCTTTACTGTGTCTTGAACCTTGACCTGGGAGGGTGGAAGCGCAGTGTAGAGGGAGCGTTACTCTGTGTGTAACCCGTGCTGTCGCTGACACGGGAAGGAATCGATGTGATGAGTGCTGCTCGCTTGCGCTACCTTCTGTTTGTTTCTGGTTCTGACACTGCGGAGACTGTTCAGTGAATGTGAGTTGGTGACTGTGAAATCCTGTGACAGGCAGCAGTGCGTGATTGCCACGAGTCCCCCTGAAGATCCTGAAGTGCCTAAGGAGAATCTAGGACTGAAAGGTACCGGGAGGGGAAGGGGCAAACTAACGGGCAGCGAGCGGGGACGTACAGAGCTTCCACCCGCCTGAGTCCTGCCGCACACTTGCCCCAGTCGGCTGGCAATTGGTCTCAGTGTCTCTTCTTCAGTGAGGGGGTCCCGCTTCTGAACGCTGTCCAGACACCTTTCTGACTCTGTGTGTCTGTGTTTGGAGGCCCTCCGCCACCCCCAAACCCCCCACCCCTCCCCCACCCACCTCCTTGAATGCCCATCTCAAGACCCTTCTCTTTGACCGCGCATTCGGTCACACTCCCACCCCTAACCTCCCTGCCCTCCACCTCTCCTGATCCCAAACCCCAACTCGGGTGCAAACCCCTGATTGTCCAGTGCCTTGGGATGTCCTCCTGATGTGAAAGGCGCCGTGTAAATGTACTGTGTTGTTGTTGTTGTTAGTGTGGGTGCCGGCGGGATTGCTGCCTGTGATCGTCTTTCTCGTTTTATTGGTGGTCTGCAGCCAGAGACAGAGGGTGCCACAGGAGCCTTTCACAATCCCAGGTATAATGCTCAGCCCCACCCTCCTGTCTTGGCCCCACCCTCCCACCCCGCCCTCTGTCTCAGTCCCGCCCTCTCTGTCTCTGACTCCGGTCAGTCTGTGCTTTCCATGTCAATCCCAGCAGCTCCCAAGTGACCCCGTGTTTCTCATTCTCAGTGATGGAAGAAGGCGATTGTAAGGGTATCGAGAAGCAGATGGTGAGTCTGTCGCCCACACTCGATTTCCTCCCCTGCCCGCCTATGCCCCACTCCCCCGCCTGTGCCCCCTGCCGGTACCATCGCAGCCCGTGCCCATACTCGCTCACCATGCTGACAGGCGTTGATGCTCTCTGTTTAATGGTTCTCTCTCCAGTTTGTGGATCTGAACCAAAAACCTGAGTTCCCGACTAACAACAATAACTACAACAGTCAGTCACCACCACAGGAGCTGGATTCCAAAGGTGAGGCGCATCACTGTCTCTAACCCTGACCTGGGAGTGGGAATGGACAGTGTAGAGGGAGCTTTACTCAGTCTCTAACCCTGATGTGGATGGGTAGTGCAGAGGGAGCATTACTCTGTCTCTAACCCGCGCTGTGTGACTGGTTTGTTTGTAGCTGGCCTATGTCCGGGGCTTGCGGAGGGGCGAGCGCTGTACGAGATCATTAACGTGGTGCCTGTGCGGAGGTGGAAGGAGTTTGTGCGTCTGTTGGAGCTGAAGGACTGTGACATTGAGCGAGTGCAGATGGACGTGTTGCTGTTCAGGGACCAGCAATATGAGATGCTGCGCTGCTGGGGCCAACAGGCCAATGCCTCGCTGCAGCTGGTCTTCAACACGCTGGAGGGCATGGGCCTCGCAGGCTGTGCACAGCAGCTACAGGGGCAGCTCCAACACCAGCCTGGCCTCCTGCCCTGAGCCCATCACCAGCCCCGGGCAACATGGGTGGAGGGGCAGTGAGAGCGGGGCAAGGACCGAACATGATTTGGGGGACAAGACGACGTGGGTAGAACGCACAAACCCATCGATACAGAAATATTTATTTGTGGTTTGTTCCAATTTAAGACCTCCCCCACCTGTGCCCTTTCCCCCTTGCATACCCCACCCCCGTATCGTCGTGCCAAACCACCACCCCTGTGCTCCACAGGTCATTCCCGGCTCCCGGCATTGAGCGAGCCGTGGGACCAAGTGCTGAACTTCAGGTGAGAGAAGCCGAGGTTCAAACGCTTCATGCCAGCAGCATCCCCGGTTGTCAGGTTTCCCAGCGCCATCGTCACACTATTTAATGTCCACTGCAGGAGACGGCACCTGATGTCAATGGAATAAGATTCTGAGCTCTTGGGTTGGAGGGGCTGAGAGGAGGATGATAGTCAGAGCCGGCACAGCACATATGTGCAATGTGCCAAACCTCCCCACCCCTCACCTTCGCTGTGTAACCATGTCCAAGGTCCTGGCCCCAATTCTCTAGGGAGATTGTGTGTGTGAATCGCCTACAAATTCAGTCACAAACTCCACGGGTTGTTAAGTCGATTGGCAGATCATTTTCTGGAGGGAATCATCCCTTCAGAAAGAAATAATACTAATTTGGTCAATCAATCCACGACTGTTTATGGGACACTGCTGCCGCGTTTGGCCCACAAAATACACAGTCACTACACTTTACAGTGTGTCATGTGAAGTGCTTTGAGACATCTCGAAGATGTGATAAGGTGCTATAGCAAATGCAAGGATTATTATAGTTGTAATTGTCGTACGGACATAATGTCCACGCGACTCTCTTCAAGATGTTTGAACAATATTGCCTCCATCACATTTTTTTTTGTTTTTATATTAAAATCCTCTAAAAAGGTGAGGGAAGGTCTCTCCAAGGACCTGGAACAAGTTGTTGCTTCTCAGCTTCGCTCCTTCCTCTCCTTCCCTTCTTGAACCCCTCCAATCGGATTTCCGTGCTGCCCACAGCACAGACACTGCCCTGGTCAAAGTGACAAATGACATTTCCCTCTGCCTCCTCAGCCTCCTTGACCTCTCTGCTGCCTTTGACACCGTCGACCACTCTATCCTCATCCACCGCCTCTCCTTTCACCTCAACCTCCACGGCTCTGTCCTTGATTGGTTCAGATCGTACTTCTCACACCACCTGCACTTCATCTCTTCAAACGGTTTCTCCTCTAGCCCCCGCACTGTCTTGCGCAGCGTTCCTCAGAGCTCTGACAGTATCACCATCCGTGGTTGCACACTCAATCTTGCTAAGGCAGTTTGGAACCTTGAGGTCTTGTTCAACCCTCAACTATCCTTTCTACCCCATGCCATGACCCGCTCTGCCTTCCCCCACCTCCGCAACATTACCCGCCTCCGTGACTCTCACACAGAAAGCGGCGAAACCCTCATTCGTATACGCCTTCATTATTTCGAGGTTCGACTATGCAAACTCACTGCTTGTCGGCCTCCCCAACTCCTCCCTCCATGAACTGTAGATCATCCAGAACTCTGCAGCCCGTGTCCTCTCCTGCACTAGGCTCCGTGACCCTATCACCCCCCTCCTCGCCCAACTCCACTGGCTTCCCATCACACAGAGGATACAGTTCAAGATCCTGGACCTCACCTTCAAAGCCCTCCATGGTCTTGCTCCCCCCTACCTCTTTGACTTCCTAATCCCCTACCATCCTGTTTGCTCTGTCTGCTCAGCGGGCTCCAGGCTGCTTCACATCCCCCGCTTTGCTCCCCCCTCTATCGGCGGGCGGGCCTTCCGCCACTCTGCCCCCACCCTCTGGAACTCCATCCCGCAGACGCTCCCATCTCGCCCCCTCCCTCGCCACCTTCAAGACCCACCTCAAGACCCTCCTCTGATCGTGCTTTCGATCTCCTTGCTTCTCCCTCCCCGCCCTCCACCACGACCCTCAGCTCAGGTCCGAATCGCTGCCTGTCCAGCGCCTTGGGACGTCCTCCCGCCGTGAAAGGCGCTTTACAAACGTAATTTTGTTGTGGTCGTTATTGTTGGAAGTGGGCAATACTTGGTGTTTGTTGCCCTCTTGTGACTAATTGCTGAAGTGAAAGGCGGAAACGCTGTGAATGTCTGTCACTTTGTCCCTGGGGGAGAACAGGGGGAGGAGGGAGGGAAACTGGGTGGGGGGTCGAGGGGGAGGAGGAACCGGGGGAGTGGGGAGCAACCATCCAACAGCCTCTAAAGTGACAAAAATAAATTTATATGGGTTTACAGAATATTTACAAGTGTTTGATACAAATGCCAGAAGAACATAGAACATATGTGACGGGATACGGAGTAGGCTTGGAGAATCGATCCTGGGCTTAACCTCCAATGTGCTTCTCTGTGACACATCACACTGAGACGCTACTGTTTCCCATCGTGTGGCGGCTTTGTCAAGATCTCAGCGCTCGGTCTGCGTTCATTTTACTGAAAATGGCTTCAGTGTGCGAGATATATCGCTCCCTTACGTGAAAAGCGTTAAATAAATCACCGGGTTGCCAGGTGGAGCGGTTACAATTTTCAGAGGGTCTCCTGGATAGGGAAGTGAGTCTCTGGTTTCGAGAACTCCTCAACTACTCCTTGCCCCCAGGAGCCGGAATTGGGAGCAGAGCTGGGGGTGGGATCCAGCGGAGCCCGAATGCAGTTCACATAGCACGGATCGCCATTCAGGGTGATGCTCGACGATGGAGACGGTTTCACTACAGCGAGAGAGAGTCAACAACAACAAATTACATTTACACCGAGCCTTTCACGTCAGGAGGATGTCCCAAAGCGCTGGACAGTCAGGGATTTGGTCCTGAGCTGGGGGTTGGGCTTAGGAGGGGTGGAGGGGAGGGAAGGTGGGTGTAGGAGGGTGACTGAAGGCACGGTCGAAGAAGAGTGTCTTGAGATATGCCTTGAAGGAGGCAAGGAAGGGAGTGAGGGGAAGGGGCTGTGGGATGGAGTTCCAAAGGTTGGGTTCAGAGAGGCTGAAGGCCTGTCCACTAATTGTGTGCGGGGCGGGCGGGGGATGTAGAGCAGACCGCAGCCTGCTGAGCAGAGGGAGCGGACAGGTCAATATAGCATTAGCAGATCACTGGAAAGAAGGAGCAAGGCCATTCACATAGGAAT